ACAACGTTTGACTGGACATTCACGACGATAAATAAAGACGATCTACGAAAAAAAGTTAAATAAAACATTTTTGGTGTTTGAGTTACAAGCCTTCAAAGTTAACTAATTTCATAATTAATAACTTCATAACCCTTTTACCGATCGCGTTAAAATTTGGTACATTTATTGGGACCATTATTGCATATTATTTCTTAAAGCTTTAGGCCGGTATTAGACTATAAAATATATTTGACAAAGATCTTCTATAAAAGATATTTTATAAAAGTTTTGACAGTGTAATATCACTCCTTTTATAAAATATTTGTTTTATAAAAGATATTTTATAGGAAGTAATAACAAGCGATTACCTTTGATAAAATATTTAGCAGTTTCAAAACAATATGGCGGAAGACAAGTTTGTTTGGTGCGTTTCCGGCTACCAAATTGTTAAGCGTCACAATTTCCTTAAAAATATACAAAGTTCTTTGACAGTATAATACTACTCTACTGCTTAGAAACTTTTGTTAAAGAAATATTATAAAAAAAATATTTTATAAAAGATCTATGTCAAATATCTTTTATAGTCTAATACCGGCCTTAGTCAAATATATACTGGGTGATGGTTTTCTCTGGTTACCTCTCTCTTTTAGCGGTCAAAACTTTTACAGTGGTCGTATTTTTTTAAAGCGGGCGGCAACATTGAAAAGGTCTTTTAGTTATTAATTAAATTAGCTTTATTTTTGACAACTTTGAAGGCCTGTGATTCAAAAATCAAAAGATTTTTATTTAACTTTTTTTCGTAGATCGTATTTATTTATCGTCGTGAATATGCAGTCAAACGTTGTCGGTGAAATTTGCGGACACCCTGTTTAATGGAGGAATTCCAAAATAGGGTGTTAGATTTTCCACTGGATAACAACTGGAATAAATATTAAAAGTAACAAAAATGTTCAAAATTGACCAATAAATTGAAACTAGTTCTCTTTTCTCCAACTTATTTATCCATTTATGGAAACTGCGAAATTTTATGGTTTGGTCAATTTCTTGATCAAATTATTTAGCCAAAACTGGTAAAAATAAAATACATTTTGAATATGTACCTAGTTTTGGAACGTAAAAGTCTATAATTGGTTTAGGGATGTTTATTTCTCATGCATTTCTATACATATATAAAAAAAATTCTCATTAAATAACAAACTTGTACCCAAGTTCAAGGTACCATGGGTGTTATAGGATAATAATGCCCTCGATCGAGAGGACCTTGACAAGTACACTGTACTGTTTATCCATATAACACCCAAGATATTTTAATTATTGTTTAATTTAAAAAAATTGTTATCGTTTACAGGGAAGATTTCCTATTAAAAGTGATCATCTCGAAATTTTTATTTTTTTTTTTTTAGGAGAGGAGTTTCCTATAAAAATTGTATGGTTCTTAGAGGCTTCATAAATTATTTTTGAAAAAAACAATTGAACATCGCATAAGCAACTTCTAGAAGTTATTTTTGCAATGGGACATTCTGTATTTTTATATTTTGTTTTATAAAATTGTAAATTTTTCTGATTCAAATACATATGGGGCATTTCATGCCAATTCACTGAGGTTGTGACCTGAGTTAGAGTAGCTTTCATGAACTTTTTCAAATTTTTTCTTCAACCCTCAAGACGTTATGAGCATTTCAATATTTTGGTTAAAAATTTTCAAATAGTACTGGTAACTTGGCGAATACTAAAGATATCGTTCGTTGTTCGTTTTGTTCGAGATGTAGTTTAATAAAAAAATGTATAGATAATATATTTTTAGTTTTTTCTTTTTGATTTTTAAACTAAAAAGTGCTTTTAGAAAAAGAGTGGCGTTATTTTTTTTCTTGGAAATTCTCAACAAAATAGTCATTCAGTATGCAAAGTTATGAGACAGGTTTTAGAGTGAGATCTGTCTTAATCTATTTTTTTTCGAATTAAACATTTTTTTTTATTTTAATTTTTTATAGATAGTGTACGCTATTAAACCAAATTCTACTATTCAACAAAATTTGGTCACAGATTCTTAGGACAAATTTAGGGGACTCGTATTTTTACTTTTTGCCAACTGGCCCCCTCTTTCGGAGTTATAGCCCCCTGAAATCTGCTCCTAAGAACTCTTTTTTATATCTCAAAACTATGTTGTACGAGAATCGCTAAATTTGGTACACAGGGGTTTTATGAAATATGGAATCTCACAGTGCTACGCTTTTTGGCGAGAAACCCCCTTAAGACACTTTTTCGTGGGTCCCCTTGTCTTTGGAACCAGAAAAATTTGGTCGCAAATTTGATTTTTTTTTAATTATTGGTTAGCTAGAAAGCCATTGAATTTAGAAACTTTTTTGTTTCTTGATATTTGTTTCGTAAAACGCAATGTTTATATGCATTCGATCACATTTTGACATTTTTATCGAAAACATTGCGTTTTACGAAAAAAGTATAAGGAGACAAAAAGTTTCTATTTAATGGCTTTCTAGTGGACTGATAGTTTTTTAGAAATTTAAATATGCGACCAAATTTTTTTGGCTTCAAAGACAAGATGACCCACGGAAAATTGTCTTAAGGGGATTCCCCGCCAGAAAATGTAGCACCATCAGATTCCACATGTCATAAAACTCCTGTGTACCAAATTTAGTGATTCTCATACAACAGGGTTCTGAAATATAAAAAAAAATATTATTCTCAAGGACGGACTTCAGGGGGCTGTACTCCGACAGAAGGGGCCACTTGGCAAAAATAAAAAATACTGGTCCCCTAAATTTGTCTTAAGAATCTGTGACCAAATTTTGTTGCATGAATTTTGGGACACCCTGTAGAAGTAAATCGCGATGAATAATTACTAAAAATACCGTAGAAAAAAATTACGCCACTGTTTTTCAAAAATCGCTTTTTCGATTTAAAAATAAATAAAAACTCAAAAAACTAAAAACGTATTAGTTTTATATTTTTTTATAAAACTAGATCTCAAACCGAACAAAATGAAAAAAAAAGTTACAATATCTTTAGTATTCGCTAAGACATTTGAAAATTTTTTGACCAAAATATTCAAATGCTCATAACTTCTTGAGGGGTTGAATAAAAATTAGAAAAAGTTCATGAAAGCTACTCTAAATGGGTATAAACAATACCAAAAAATCAGGAAAATTAAAAATGGTCCAGTCACGTCCTTAGTGATTTGGCTATTATATTATGCTTATTTCCGAGGTTTTTTACAGATAAGATTTTTCACATACATTTAAAAAAATGCTGTATGTATATACAGGGTATTCTATTTGAAATGCTAAAATCGTCATATTTTTTATATTTGAAGGCGGTAACTGAAAATAATTTAAATATTATCAATTTCTTTTTATAACAGTTTACTTTAATAGTAGTAATTCTATACATACGTATAATTCCTACCTGTTATTCTGTTACAGTGTTTGTTTAATTTCGAGCCCCTATTACACCTGTAGAATTTTCAGTATTGACTTTGAATTAAATGTGGAAATGTAGAAAACGAGATAACTAACTAAGCAATTAGCATGTAGTTAGGTAGTCTTCTCAAAAGTTTATGAAACTCCGCTATTAATGAGGTGTAAATTAATCCTTCCATTTAAGTCTTTGTTCGAGGTAATTTGACAGCGGCTTTATCGGGCTGTAACGGCGTAGGGCTGAGTCATTGGAACGGCATGCATGCTGAGCAGTGATAAATGAGAAATATGCGTAAAACGACTTCATTTATCCTAAATTTAAAAGAGATTTTGAAGGCGGAGGAATAATGGATAAAGTGATAGACATTTATCTCGACCATGCCTCCTAAATTTGATACACATACTAATATAATAAATAACACAGGCACAACAAATTTTTTCTTCATATTTATTTTAACATAGTATGATACAACTCTGTATTTTCACCCACTGAAGACGATGGAGCCATAAGAAACGCTCCATGACGTCAGTATTTTTTCCTAACCTCAAAAAATAGCTCGAATTCAGTGTAAATGTCGATTGTTTGTTAAAATGCTCAAAATTGGTTAAAAATGTCCTTATCCTCCGGTCATTTCAGGGTCAAATACGGTCACGGTTGTTTATTAAAGATCACTAAAGGCAACAGGTGGTCACTGTTGGTCATTAGTGGCCACCAAAGGTAAAAGGCGACCATTGAAGATCAACAGTGGTCACCAAGATGGTCTTGGGTGGTCAATAGGAGTCATTGAGGGTAACAGAATAACCAACTTCGCCTTGAAATGATCGGGGGATAAGGAATTTAAGGTCAGGGCGGAGGTCAAATCCAAGGTCACCTATCAAGAATCCTAGAACTATTGTGGAGAACATTTTTCCTGGCGGGTTATTCTGCTATTCTGGTACTATTGGACCACTTCGGGACTTTTTAATATTTGGCCTTGATCTTGACCTTCATGGTCATTTCAAGATCACATCCGAACGTAAAATCCGCTCTCTCCATCTCCGGGGTCAAAATTATGGGGATTAAAAAAAATTCTCGTGACCTTGATATGACCTTGAAGATCATGGTCCAGGTCAAATTCAAGGTCACCATCGGATAGCCAGGGAAAAATCCTAAACCTTGGTGCTTTACTTTTACCCTACTCCTTGAATATTCCCAGATATTCTGCCATTCCGGTACTTTTAGCCCACCCTGTATATTCACTGTTATTCTTACACTTAATAAAACCTAAGTACGGCCCTGACTTATACGTATTAGAAATACACGAGTATAAACTGTCAAACCCTCCTCTGGTATTATCTCAAAAATTCCCAACTGCACTAATTAATTATATTTAGATTCGACATTTACGGTATAATCTCACCGAAACTTACATAATACCTACGCTCCAAAAAGCAATTTTTATCATCGGTGTGGGAGCCACAATATCGCGCGATATACGTTTTGCGGGAGCCGCTATGCGTGTATTTTATCGTCGGTACAAATTTATTACGAGACCGGCGTGTTTCTGCTTAATTTAATGGCTAATCGAATTTGTATTTTGGTTGCAGGCACCGTGCCCGAGGATGGAGTGCCGGATATGACTAGGCTTACGGTATTGGATGAAGAAGTCATCAACAAGAACCTCAAGCTGAGATACGATAAGGACCGAATATATGTATCCTTTTCTGTCGTATATTTAGTAGTAGTGATTGAGGTGTTACACTTTATTATGGCTACATTATGCCTTCTGAGAGTATACAGGGTGGCCAAATGAAAACGAAACAGAGCCATTTTCAGGAACTGCGTCAAGATTGTAGAAATACGCTCAGACCACTCGTTTTTAGATTAAAGGGGGACATTCTTTGCTGGCATTTTTGACTCCGCCACTTTCAGCCCCAAGCAAGGGTAAGCATCACCCCAAAATATTTAAATGGCATTGGGGGTTGAGTAATATTTCTTTTGAAAGCTCTTACAATTCTCTTTACAACAGACTTTAAATTTTATAATTCCGCCCAATACTTATTAAGAATTTTGATTTTAAAGTTGAAACTTATGTACAAACAATTAGTAACGGTAAAAATGTCAGTCATTCGAGTTAAGTACGCCAATGGTATAAATTTAGTATTTCTTGCGTTACATTGGTTTTTGGCGATTTGTTATCACTTTCGTAAAAAAAAAAAAATTGTAAAAAACAGAAATGAATGCTATACACACACAATGAACGTAAAATTAGTGGATTCCAAATTATTTTCTAGTATTATTTGGAAGCGTTGGTTGGTAGTTTATTTAATTGTGTTTTTGAAAATTAAACACTATGGTTTATTCCATTGCGGAAAGGGTAGATATCATTTCGCTTTACTTTATGAACAATAAATGTGCGAATAGAACAGCTCAGCTATTTAATGAACAACATCAAGATCGACATGTCAGGAGGAAGTATGTTCTAGAGTTAGTAAAAAAATTTCAAGAGACAGGGAACGTAGCCAATAAAAAACGAGAAATTGAAAAACCTATAGTTAATGAAGCTAGTGAAGTTGCAGTTTTGGCACAAGTTCATCTTGATCCTACATTAATTACGAGGGAGCTGGCATCTGTGTCTGGGATCAATCGAACTAGCATACAAGCCATTTTGAAGAATAATCCATTCAAAATACATTTAGTCCAAGAACTTCATGAGGATGATTATGACCGCCGTTTGCAATTTTGCGAAATAATGAGTGAGCGAGCAGGGAACGATCCACAGTTCCTTTTTAACATCTGTTTTTCTGATGAATGCAGTTATTTCTTGAACGGGACGGTAAATCGTCACAATTGCCGCTATTGGTCCGATTCAAACCCAAGAGTTTTTCACGAGGTGCATACACAGCAACAAAAAAAATTAAATGTATGGGCTGGAATTTTCGGTGACCGGCTGGTGAGTCCTTTTTTTCTACCTGGTAATTTGACTGGCCAAATGTATTTGCAATTACTGGAAGACGCTATTGACCCTGCCTTGACTGATATTATTGAAAATGTTCCAGAGTATGATGAAGATCATTTGATTTTTCAACAGGACGGTGCTCCTCCGCATTATGCGTTAATTGTCCGTAAGTATTTGGACCAACGTTTTCTACGGAAAGAGGCAGCATTGAGTGGCCTCCACGATCACCGATTTATCGCTCCTTGATTTCTTTTTGAGGGGATACCTATAAAGTAAAATCTATAAAACACAGCCAGCGTCGATGGAAGATTTGCGTCAAAGAATCGTCGACGAATGCCGTCGAATCACTCCGGAAATGCTTCGGAATGTGCGCGAACGTTTCCAACAAAATCTTTATTCTTATATGGAAGCGGGCGGTCATCAGTTTGAATATTTAATCAACTAAGTAGTAAGTAAACAACTAAACATAATTTAAATTTTAAAATGTAATTTTTTTTCAAAGTATTGGGCGGAATTATAAAATTTAAAATCTGTTGTAAAGAGAATTGTAAGAGCTTTCAAAAGAAATATTACTCAACCCCCAATGCCATTTAAATATTTTGGGGTGATGCTTAGAATACCCTTGCTTGGACGTGAAAGTGACGGAGTCAAAAATACCAGCAAAAAATGTCCCCCTTTAATCTAAAATCGACGGGTCTGAGCATTTTGTCTGACAATCTTGACGCAGTTCCTGAAAATGGCTCTGTTTCGTTTTCATTTGGCCATCCTGTATGTATATTATGTTATTGAATGTGGAGAATGGTTCAGCCATGCCTATTAGTTTGCCACATACTCAAACAAATTTTATGTAAAATTACACACTAGGTTATTGGTTATTTTGATGCCACAGTACATAGTGTAAAGTTTGCTCCCTACAAAAGTAACACTTTTAATCCAAATATAACAATATGTACTATAAAATAAAAATTAGGAAGTACCTTTTAAAGGACCTGGACAGTATAGCCTTGTATGAACCTCTGTAGTAATATAAGTCTTAACAGATTTGTAATTCTTAATTATTTTACCATTCACAAGCGTCCACAATTATATTACTGTAAAGATGTGAGAAAAAATAACATGATGTGTATGTTTCCGTAAACACATTCGGTCTAATTTCAATAAAAACAAAAAAACGTGACGAATTAGACAGAATACAAATATAATTAACTGCGGATATAAAATGATTTCTATGACATGTTACAGATGAAATAACAAATACACATGTGCTGTAAGCATTAACTTGGATTATTTTAACCTCGGGAACCATTCTTGGTATCACATAGCTGTAAGGAACTTACACTTTATAATTTGAAAGGTACAGGGTGTAAGAAGTATGACTGCCATAACTTTAGCATGAAATAGCGTAGGTAATCCTAAATGAACAAAAAAGTTGTATATTACAGGGGCGTGGGATTAACAGTTTTCAAAATACAGCGAGTATTAACATTGGGGAGTTTCATCACAACGTGACAACAGCGCTACACAGCTGATGCACACCACGTGTGCACGCGGCAGACTTGCACTACGGAAAAAATGTAAACAACTGCTATTGTGAAACATTTAGCAAATTTCAAGACAATTGTTTTCCAGTTTTTAAATAAATAAAATAAAATGTATCGATTTTGTAGTACGAAGATAGAGTTGTGCTTAAATTTTAGCTCGAAATTTAGTAACTATGAATCTTCTTAAAACAGGAACTTAACTTTTAATAAAATCATGTGTTTGAAAAATATGTAATTAAAGTACCCAAAGATTTACGTCACCCAGATAATCATACGTATTAAAAATAATTTAATAATTTAGGTACTTAGCAAAAAGCAAAATTCAGTAATTTTGAAACGCACAAGTACAAAACAAACTACAACATATGCTCAAAATGTCCACCACCATCTTCGAATCCAATTTTCGCGCACTCGCTGGAAAAACCTCAAATAGTGGTACAAAAAACCCTCCGACACGGTCCAATTCCAGATACCAACACCAACTGAATTGCGTATTGCTGGACAACTTAGTACCTCGTATTAACCGCCGCGCAGTTGTCACATTGCTCGATATGAATTTTATCGAATTTTAAATTTATTAAAGCGATAGTTGGAGATTTTGATAATTTTTTTCTCGGAAATGGTTGAGTTTAGAACCCATGTCATATAAGGTTTTTTTTGTTTGTTTTAATGTATTCTATCGCCTGTTAAAATTAAGGCAGTCAAACTTCTAACACCCTGTATATTAAATATTTATACATGTCGAGGAATCTGAGATCTGAAATATTGCAAATCAGGAATTATTTGTTGTTTTATATATAGTATATTGTTCTTGTTCACTTAAATGGTTGGGCGCTGTTGTTGTAAAACATGAAAAGGTCCAGTAGTAATAGTAGCACAGTTATGACGTACATATATCAATTAATAATAAACAGGATGTTGGATACAACGATAATGAAGGGAAACGTTTGTAGTTTTATGTGATGAGACCACAGAAATAACTTCCATATGCAATACTGTTTTGAAAGACATTGATAAAAAAATTAAGGTTTTATTATCAGTTAATGTTTCTCTACTTCAATTACACCTGGTATAGTATTTGTTGTGAAGTTTTTACTTTAACAGAAGAAGAATATTGGTTTATGCATTTTAATGATTAATGGTTAATATTTATATGTTCATTAAAGGCTGGTAAATGGAAAAAGCGACATAATTAATGCATCACTGTTATAAATAAAGAAATACTCTCGGTCATACATTCACTGTCATCTTCAAAAATATTTTCGGATATAGGAAATTGCTTCTGATGAAATCAACATGTCTCTGGCTAGGTTCGTGATTCATCTTTCGTTGTCATCTGTTTCAAGACCAACTTTGACAATAATTCATGTCGTTGTATCTGTGAAGAGAGCATATTAACGTCAAGACATAAAATATCGCTTTGGGTCAATCCCATTACTGCTGAGTCACGCCGTCTTCGTATTTCCGGATTCCGACTCCCGGAATTTTAAAAATTGGTTTTTGTTGTATGACTAATGCAGGCCTTCCGTCGCTTTCCAAGTTCGATCCGCAGGTATTTCGATTAGGTAATATAAAAGAAACTACCGCATTTCTGGCGACATTGACATCCATATGGCGGAGTAGAATCGATATGTATTGGCCTGTTTACCTTTGTTGCAGCTCTACGAGTACGAGTTGATATCGGGCAAGGTGACTGCGCCTTTTTTTTTAACTAGCAGCTTCTACGAACGGGCTTTATCTACAAATATAGTATTTATAGAGATTAAAAATGAATTAGGTCTAAAATATAAGTTGTATGATTTTTAACAATCAATGTAAAGGGTGTTAACGACAACCGAACTAGGAGCTTTATTTTTGATGGTAGATTTTGAAAAAAAAGATGATTTCTAAAGATTATTCTAGTAGGAGTTTCCCCGGAAATGGTCGTTCTTTTATATCGAATAATAGATATTTTTTTTCAATCCGCACTGAATGTAAAAATGTGTAGTTTCAAGGGGCAGTCCACTATGCCTCAAAATGTACACTGATTCCAGTTTGTGTTGGAATTTTATTGTTTGTTTCGATATATTCCGGCTTATTCTGTCCATATTTCGGCTGATTCCAACTTATTCCTACTTATTTCCATTTATTACCATTAATTCCTACTTATTACAACGTATTCTGTTTAATATACTGGCTGTATTTTTTATTCTGAAACTTTCAAATATCTCAAGA